GGCCCTGCCGGTGCCGCACGCCGGGGTCGCAGCCCGCCTTCTCCTGGCAAAGTGCCTGTACGCGGCGGTGTCTGCGGGACCCGCTCCCCCAGAGCGTGCCTGGGGTTACTCTGGCGCTCCGGCACTGCCCAAAGGGCACCTGGCACCGCCGCGCCCACCTGGAGCCACCCCGGTACAACCTGTTCTATAGTCTCATATAAATGTCCACAAATATTTGCGCAGGGCTTTCCACAAGCATCCTGCGGTAAAATGCAATTACTTGAGAAAGTTTTCAGAAAGCAAACACAAAAGTATTGGGAACTGGCTTAACAGATCCATTAAAAAAAAATTAAACAAACATTTCATGTATTTTGTTCCTTCCATGGCAACCTCTTGTTAATTTTTTTACCACATTTCCCACTGAGCGCCTGGCTCCTGCCTCTGCGGGAAGGAGGTTCCTGGGCACAACTGAGCCTTGGGGCAGTGCCCGTCACGGGGGGGTCAGTATTTAGATTGTGCTGTCAAACATGTAGGAGAAGCCAGTAGCCACAGAGTGACATACCTTTACAAAAATAAACCCCAACCGGTGGAACTGTACCAAAACAGTGACCTGCCTTTTTGTATTTCACAGATATTGGGACTCAGGGCAGGCAACCCCTAATGAGACCACTGAGCCCAGGAAAGCAAAAGCCCCAGAAAGCCACCAACAAATCCACAAAAGAGGTAATTACTACTTGTTTCAAGTTCTTAACCACAACGTATACAAACCAACCAAATTATAGTTTAACACAGCCCTTACAGTAAATGGTGGGTTACCCCCCCACCAATTAGTTCTCACATGCCTTTGTAAAATGTGAGAGGGAGACCCTTTCCAGCAGCCAGAAAAACGCTGCAATTTTCTCTTATATTTGAATACATAAACAGAAACTCCCAAAGCCATTCTTTCCTCTTTCCCCCCAACCATGGCTTGTTTGGGTTGGGTTTTTTTTTTTTTTCCCTTCTCCCAGGTGCAGTTCAGTTATCAGCTAAATTGCTGCATTTTAGGCAAATAAATAGACCTTTTTTCTAATGCTGGACACAACCTGTGAAAATTCTCTGCATTTAGATTCAACAATGCTGCTCTTATCTACAGCTCATCTCGAGAGAGACAATTACCATTTCCTTTGCCTTGATCTTGTTTGTTTAACTTGACACAGTGAAGAAAGGGCTGACATTGACCAAAATCCCCAGCATTAATTTATCTCATGTTCAGCATTCATCATTGCCACCATGCAGGAAAGACATGGCAGTCACTCGAAATACCACACCAGGAAAGACCCTGCAAAAACAAAGCTGGCTGGCACGCTGCGCAAGCCAGAGGAGCTGGGACACAAACGTTTCAGTAGCACCCTGGATTTTATTTTCAGGCCCTGCAAAAAGCAGATGGACGGCTTGTCAGCGCACCGAGAGAGCATCAGCCACTCCAGGAGATAAAAGGGGATTACATGGACCGGACATGCTTCATTCATTACAATATTCAAAATAGTTTAGAAACTAGTAATTACTTAACAGACCCAGAGGAATGTCAGTGTGCATAACCGTATCATTCTGAATGTATTTAAACAGCATTTCTGTATTAAAAGCCAAGCTCAGGTCTGTACTGTGGTATACTTTGTAAACTGGACCCTGTTCTTTGGGTCTCGTTTCTGCACATGGAAAAAACTCCTCCTATTCCCAAGATGCTCGAGGGTGGTCGCGTGCTCTGGCAAATGGCACCAACACTGCAGCGTCTCCCCCAGGAACGCTCACCTTGTCTCCAGCCCAGCCCGGCAGCAAAGGGGGAAAATCAAACACCCGCCCCTTTGTTCGTTAACGTTACAGCTTCCCTTGTACCAGAGAAACACCTACCTGCAAAAACTCATTGAGCTCAACCTGCCCATTTTTGTTCAGATCCACTTCGTTTAGAATCTCATGGAGCGTATTTTCAGCAATTTGCACACTGATGCTCTAGACAAAGGGGAGCACAGAAGTGTGTCAGCGGGGTGGTTCAGCACTGTTCATGCCACACTCAGAAATTTAGGTAAGAGGCTTAAACAGGAAACTAAAGAACACAAGGAAACGTTACCTCCAAGACACGTTGCACATCCAGTATAGTAATAAACCCTTTCTTGTCCTTGTCAAACATGTGGAATCGCTTCTTGTACCTGCAAGATAAGGATTATCAGTGGGAAAAACTGCACTCAGAAGAATGCCAGGTATTAATTCCTTGCAGCACAGGGAACTCTCTTACTTCACTTACCTTTCAATATCTGAAGGCAGCAGACTGATTTCAGAGCTGTCTGTTAATTGATCTGATTTTACTTTGTAGCCCATTTCATAATAGAGAAATTTTTTAGCAGCTTCAAGTTCTTCCTACAATAAAAAAAAAGAAGAACTGTATATCTGAGGAATAGCACGTTCTTAGACAATTATTTTTAATGTAGTATTTATTAGCTTCTTCCACTTAACTGGAATTTATCTAAGGTCCAAAAATTAAGCAGATGGTAGCTGAGAAGTATTTAAAAGTAAGTGAGGCTTAGGCACTTTTTGGTCTTGAAAAGAAGTATCAAATTCATTAAAGCCTTCTAATTACTGCGTAAAGGCTTTCAGGGCCCCAGCACGCTTCCAGTCCCAGGCGGTGCAGCCCCTGTTCCACGAAGAACAGCACCTGCAGGTCAGGCCCACAACGTGCCACTGAGCTCACAGGTGGTGGCGCAGTGCCACGCTTCACCTCGCTGCCCAAAGGCAGCAAAAACATCAGGAGGCTCAACACCGGGCAGGTTATGTTTTAAACTAGTTTTCTTGACGGTGGTAAAATTAATTAATTACCCAAAAGTTCAGTGCAAGGTCTTCCACAGCCAGATTTTTAATAAGTGATGACCACCTGACCCCCACAAAGCACTGCAGCACAGAGGGGCACATGGGTAAGTGTGCTGACAACCACACAAACACAGGTTAAGTGTGCTGACAAACACGGGTAAGAGTGCTCAGCAAGGGCTGCAGTAGCAGCAGAAGACTCCTAGGCACAGATATCTAAGCCACTTCCCGTAGCAAAGACTTGTTTGTGCAGGCGGATTAGGAGACCAACTAAACTACACCAGGCTACTCTTACGTACTTCAGTAGAGGCACACAAATTAGCCCTGAAGTCCCAAACCAACACAGGCTTACTTAATGGTCTTACTCTAAGATCTAAAGTAAAGAATGCTCTGCTGGATGGGCACTGAATTGCCTTGTCCATCAAGTTGAAATACAGCCCGTGCAAGACTGCTGCAAAAACACAGCACTTAGAACAGCCCGAGACTGGACACAGAAGAGATGCTCAGCAGCTGGGGGGTTTCAGCCTCATTTGAAAGAGGAGGAGACATTTTCAAGAGAAACCCCAGCGGCCGTTCAGGGAACGCAGCCTTGGGGGCACGAGTGAGCTCAGGAGCCACAGCCGCTCAGTAAATTCCCAGCACAGGCAGCACTCGGTCACTCTCCTGCCGGCAGGTTAAGGTGAGAACGGGCGCGGAACAGCCCAGCAGCCCCGGGCTGCCGGAGCTCGGGCTGTTCCTGCGACCCCAACGTCACGCTGCTTGCAAATTCTCTGCTCTGCAAGCTTCCCACGTTATGGAAGGATTGCTCCGGCTTCGTTTGACACCGAGAATTGCTATACGAGCAAATCTTGGGTGAGGGCAAGACCCCCCTAACACCAGATGCCTCTGCCCTGAGCTGCGACATGTGGGTGCCCCCTTCCCTGCACCTTCCTGGGGGTAGGCTGGAGGACCATGGCAGGTCCCTCCGGCCACCTGCATCCAAATCAGCTCCTTAAACATCCTTTTAGGCCAGAGAATGGTGCAAACTCAGTATCAAAATACACAGCAGCCAAGAAGGGACACTGATTACAAGATCCTCCTTTTCTGAGGCAGATCTGTTGAAAAGTGTTAGTAAACAAAAGATCTGAACAGGAATAGGATAGTAATGCCACATCTGATTTCATTTTTGAAGTTGGAGAACAACAGGATACAGATCTTCACTTTCCCCTCCATGCCCCGGCCGATACCCACCCATTTCACAGCTATTTTGATAAAGTCTTTATAATGAAATACCCCAAGTGAATCATCCTGAGGAAGACAGCACTGCTTGAAGTTTTCTGTTCAACTAATTTAGATCATTAACATGGAAGCTACTTATGAAAAACAAAACGGCTTCAGATGAAAAAGGCCTTTTGTACCTTTTTTTTCTGCTCACTCCAGTTAAGTTCCTTCCCCATGATATCTACGATTCGTGGCAGGGCCTCCTCTGCAGCCTGCACATTCAGAAAGGCCAAGCGAGTACGTCGGGAAATCATGTCCACTGCCGTGCGGGCGTACTCCTTAACACCGTAGACAACCTAGAACAGCAAGACAAGGGGGGAAAATGCAGAGGAGGAAGCAGGCAGGCACCGTTGGAAATGATGTTTAGCGTCACTGACCACACTGCCGGGCTGGCCACACAAACTGAACTTCCTGTAACTAGTCCCCACCCCACCAAGAGAAGGGCTGGAGAGTTCCCTCCTCCTCGGAACATTTTACAGAATGCAGCTGGGATCAAAAGTGTACATACGAAACAAAGAATAGACATGATATAATTATAAATATTTGATTGTTTATAATTAATATGTATATATAAACATAAAGCATGCTTTGGGGAAGGGGAAAAACAAGAACAGAAAAAAAAATGTGGACCTCAAAGGAAGGGGCTTATGGAAAGTTTTAGAGGGAGACAGAGCTGCTCTAGAACCAGCTTATCCCAAGGAGAGAATCAAAGAGCATTATGTAGTTCCTCCACATACCTCAGCTTCAATATAAGGAAATTCAGACACAAGGCGTTTTCCAACAATGGGCCACCTCTTTCCTGTGACTTGGGCTATTTTGGCCACCTCGTAGGCCTTGTCTCCATACGTCGAGGCCAGATGCTGAGCCACCTGCGGAGGCGAACACAAATGCAGTAGGCTTCGGAAAGCACAGCGAACTGACACACGTTCTTGCCCGTCCTCTCATCCCCAGTCACAAACAGGCTGCAGAGGGTGTTGGGTTTGATTGTGTGGGAGGAAACTACTGGAGCTGCGAATAGCTTAGCCCAGGCCACACACCACCACGTATGTCTCAATGGAACCTGAGCAACAACGCTGCCATCGCGTCCCAAGTACAGGTTTTGCTGGGCTCAAAGGAAGACAGACCCGGGCATGTGTAACATTTTAAAGCAGGAAACAGTCAAGATTAGAGGAAGGGAAAAGGGAGGAAAAAAAGAACAATGACCAGAATTTATTTTTGTTAAAACTGCCTCTGCCCTGGCCAGATAATAAACTCTTATCAGGCTCAAGAGACCTTTGTACAAGTGATGCTGGCATTACATTTAGTGGGAAAACAAACCCCTCCAACAGGGAAACAGCACAGCACCAACAGAAACCACAACTCACCTCACTTTCAAGTCCATAGTCTTGGACCAGCCTAATGTAGAGAGTGGGGCTCCAGTCCTCAGCCCCTTGGAGCTGCAGCCCGATGGTCTTACTGGAACCCGCCTTCAGATCGTGCGCCTGAACCGCTGCGTCGATGGTGTCCTGCGCCATGGCACGGTAGGTTGTCCACTTCCCACCTGTAACCACACACGGACTCTTTGTTTGGGGAAAGCAGGCAGAACACAAAGTTGGTATGTTCTTTATTATATTTATTTTTATATATATATACATATATATACACATACACATATATATATACATATACATATATATATAGATACATATATACACATACATACATACATATATATATACACACATATATATATATATATATACACACACATATATATATATCTCGTGTTATTCCTACGAGACTGGCTCAACAAGACAGTCATGCTACCACCGACAGATCGTGAGCTAATTATAGCAATGTGAAGGATTTTCCTGTAACAAGAAAAGTTTTGAAGAGGGAAGCCCAGCAAAAGTTATACTTTAAGAGAACTTCCAGTACCTGCTATGGTGACAAGGCCACTGTCGCTAATGGTAACAACGTGATTCCGGGAGATCGACTGCGTGTCCTTGGAGTTGGGGTCTGTGACCAGAGGACGAATGCCACTCCACGCTGCCAACACGTCTCCTCTTCTCACTGTTCAGAACCAAAGATCAGCCCAAGTCAGGCAGGAACTCATGGGCATTTCCCTCCTATCCCTCCCGTGGTCTCTGGCATCGCCTCCGAGCAGATCCTCGCTGTGAAACACGGGCTGTACCACACCATGCCAGGCAGCTGAGCAGCTCAAACAGCTGGAGAAGATTCTCCACAGTAATGGAATAAACTGGGCTACAGATTTTAAACCAGCACTGCCTTCATCAGTACCAATAATACTCTCTAGCCCAAACCAGAGGGGTCCATTTTTCACACTGGTGAAAAAGTCAACAGACATCCTGGGAACTGATTAACCAACTGTCAAACTCAATCAGCTCAAACCCCCATACCCAGAACCCAAACCCTCCCAAACCTAAACCACCAAGCACCAAGTCCTCCCCTTGTTTGCCTGTGCTGCAGGACAGTCCTTACGTGTCAGAAACCAAAATAAACTTTGTTCTACACAAGCATAATGTTTGCTCTTAGGGCCTCAAGGCTTTTTCTCTGGCCTGTAGGTTGCTTCTCCCCGTTTTCCTCTCGGTGAGTGATGTTTATCCCCAGCCCTTCGAGGGGCAGTGACACACACACACAGGGAGGCCATTTCTTGGCAAGGCTGCGCCTGGCTGCAGCACATCCCCCCGCAAGCATCAGTCTACATCTCTTACACAGCTGCCTCTTCCAGCCCTGCCTCCTCCTCCTCCTCCTCCCCACGGCTGTCCCGCTCCGCCAGCCGCCCCAGGAAGGGCCATTTACTGCCTCCTGGCCCCTGCTTCCCACCCGGGTACCGGCATGTCCCCGCCGCCAGCCCTGACTGCTCAGTAAACCCGGGGCAAGAAGACCTGAAGGCACCAAGCAGCCACAAAAGCCCTTAACAGCTGTCGGAAAATACCCCAGCCTCCAAAAGTCACTTTTTTAAATATAGAGAGTTAATGAAATTAATTTTGTTTCTTATTAAATTTTCAATACAAAAATTGACTGATTTCCTTTATACTGAAGTCTTCGGAACGTGGTTGTTTGTTTTTTTTTTAATACAACTTTCAAATAAATGATAATTGAAAAATCAGTAAAAGGGTGTAAAAATATCCCCCAAAGAACACAAAATAGATTTCAGAAATCAATGGTGCTCTGCCAGCATGTTTAACCTGCCAAAATGAAGTGTTAATCACAGAAATAAGATACCATATTACGTTTATAAACTAATGAAACTAGAAAAAGCAGCATGCGTGACACTATAATTAAACAGTTGGAACGCATCCAAGCCTGTGTAAGTTGATAACCCTGGCACTGTCTCTGGCAGCAAAAAGGCAGGTCTGCAGTGAGTTGATATGGCCAGCACAGTTGTTAATTCAATAACAAGCAATCTATAAACACTGCTAATTGCGTATGTGAAAAACAGCGTGCACCTAGGTAGGTTTCGTTCAGAAGAATTAAACACTTCATAATGTACTTCTGTAAAATACCTCGCAAAAATCTCTGCCCTCTTCACAGTCTTCACTCTCCCAGGTACCTCTCTGGCCTATCGCACTTATTTATAAATAGAGATTTTTGCTCAAGGAACTTCAAGGTACATTTCCTGAAGACTACTTCTGAACTTCATACCACAGAGCCATCAATTATCCGCTTCAGGAAACGAATAATCCAGTATTTCCAGTCTCCGGACAGCAAGTTTTCCTAAATCTGAGGATGTTGGAAGGTTCCTGACTGAGTGCTTTTCAAATTTATTTTAATGCTGCTACTACAACAGAAATGCAGAAGTAAGAATGCTTTCACAGAATAATATTTTTAAAAAAACCTCACTATGAAGGAAAGACGCCTCTCTCCTTTAAACCAGCACTAATTCAAAATGGGCCAGTGTCTTACAACAAACGTGACCTCGGCTCAGCTCCTGAGAGGAACAGCTGACACAAAGTAATTTTTATAAATTCTCCTTTTTGCCCATTATACTTTCCTCTCCCACTGGAAGCTAACACTATTAGGTATTTACCATATCAAGAAAAGTAGATTCTAACAATAAAGCCCCTAGAAAAATGGAAGGGCAGGGATGTGCCATCCAGAGGGGCCTGGGCAGGCTGGAGAGGTGGGACATGCCAACCTCATGGAGTTCAGCAAGGCCAAGGGCGAGGTCCTGCCCATGGGTCGGGGTGATCCCCAGAACAAACCCAGGCTGGGCGAGGAGGGGCTGGAGAGCAGCCCCCAGGAGAAGGACTTGGGGGTGGAAAACTGCCTGTGAGCCAGCACCGTGCGCTGGCAGCCCAGAAAGGCCCCGTGTGCTGGGCTGCACCCAGAGCAGGGGGGGCACAGGGCCAGGGGGGATTCTCCCCTCTGCTCCGCTCTGGGAGACCCCCCTGCAGGGCTGGGTCCAGCTCTGGGGCACCAACAGCAGAAGGACACGGACCTGCTCCAGCGGGGCCAGAGGAGGCCACGGAGATGCTGGGGGGGCTGGAGCACCCCTGTGAGGACAGGCTGGGAGAGTTGGGGGGTTCAGCTGGAGGAGAGGAGGCTCCGGGGAGACCTTAGAGCGGCCCCCCAGGGCTGAAAGGGGCTGCGGGAAAGCGGGGAGGGACTGGTCATCAGAGGGAGGGATAGGACGAGGGGGAATATTTCTAACCTGAAAGAGGGGAGATTTAGGTCAGATGTAGGGAAGAAATTGTTCCCTGTGAGGGGGGTGAGGCCCTGGCACAGGCTGCCCAGAGAAGCTGTGGCTGCCCCCTCCCTGGAAGGGCTCAAGGCCAGGTTGGACGGGTCTTTGGGCAACCTGGGCTGGTAGAAGGTGGCCCTGCCCGGGGCAGGGGGTGGCACTGCATGGGCTCTGAGGTCCCTTCCACCCAAACCAGTCTGGGATTCTATAAATAAAAACAGAGACATGGGAAAAGTCAGAACAACTTTTCCTTCAAGAAAACCAGGTGACTTATGCACTTATGGTGACATACGACCAAAGTATCCCAGTTCTACAAAACCTCACACCTGCCACCCAAAGAGACCAGAACGACTTGACCGTGCAGCTGGACATTAGTGCAGCTGGATGAAAGGCGTGGGAAATCAGAACACACAGAGATCAACTCCTTTCTATTTAAACAGTCCAAGCAGCGCAGGTGTACCTGTCAGAGCATCATTTAATAGCTCTGGAACACAGATCGTGATGCCACTGATGTCCCACTAGTTTCGGAAGCCCCCAGCTGCACAGGACCCACAGTTATCAGTCACAGACACACACCAGACAGACAGCACTTACACCAGAATGCAGAGACTCATCAGCACCTTCCCAGGGCAAACCAGAGCTGACAGAGCTTTACCTTCAACGTCAACACTAAGGTAGTTGCGCACTTCATTCAAAATGAAGTTTATATCTTCTTCGGTGGGTATTGGATGGGACGTAACGTCAGTCGGGCTGTCTGTGGTCCCTGCAATAGTCATCTTCTCCCAGGGCAGGAAGAAAATCACTCTACCATCGCTGGTGGCTGGGTCAAGCAGACCCATATTATCAGGGCTGAAATAAAGAAGGGACAGGGTTCAAAACAGGTCAAGCTTCACCAGGCATGATGTTCTTGCACACCTCGTACCCTTGATAAAGTGTCAGAACATTACCTTTGTTCTTAGGTCAAATGATTTAAAAGAAAACAAACAGGGAAAAAAAAAGAAAAAAGATCAGCGATTTCACCCATGGCCATGACCTGACTTTAAATCTTAGCCCCAGAAGTTCTGAGAAATGAGGCCCTTGAATGGGATGCTGAGATAATTCTAGAATGATTTCCTAAGGAAGGGAGCAGACTACAATCTTAAACCAAGCAATCAGGCCTTTGACATCTCACAGCTCCATTCACTCTGGAAAATCTTGCTCATTGGAATTTCAAATACAAGCATTTAGAAATTTTAAAACAGCAATTAGTTGAAAGCCATTAAGGAATGAACAACTGCCTTTAATCGAAAAATGGACAATCATTTCTATCGTGCCACAAAGCAAAGGCAAGGCTGAAACACAATGAACATTGAAATGGAAGAAATTAGAGAGGCCTAGTTCTGTTTCGATGCATCTACGTACATAACAAGAAAAACTACAGGTGAAATATTAGTAAGCCAAGTCATGAATTGTCTGCACCCTGAACAGAGGGCAAAATCCCAAGGACTTCTGTAACCTGCATTCACAATAAAGGGAGGGGGGGGGGGGGGG